CCTGAGTAGCTGGGATTACAGGGGCCCGCCACCATGCCTGGCTAATTTTTTGTATTTTTAATAGCAGTGGGGTTTCACCATGTTAGCCAGGATGGTCTTGATCTCCTGGCCTTGTGATCTGCCCACCTCGGCCTACCAAAGTGCTGCAATTACAGGTGTAAGCCACCGCACCCAGCCTATTTTAAAATTCATTTAGAAGTCCATATTAATCACATAAAAGTTCTCCCTAAACAGATGGGTAAATTAAGAATTTAATTTTTAAATGAATTGAAAATAAATGTAAGTGAAAGGTTATTATGTCTCATTAAAGGACAAAAAGAATCTTTCTTTTCTTGCATAAACACTTTATCTTTGTAACTTTTGACAAAAAATTCTTTTCAAGTTTTAATAGAACTTTCATATCAGAATTATGCACAGCTATGTGAACAAGATAAATTGATTTCAATGAGGCTGATGATGTCCCTGCAGGATAACATAAATCATTATGTTAAGAAACAATCACCAAAATGTGTTTGTTTTTACACTAAATACAAAATTGCAATCAACATCAAAATCCAGATTGTAGGAAATTATATAGCATAAACAATCTGGTTTCTTCAACAAATAAATTGTAAGGGCGAAAAAAGAGAAAGATAACTTTTAAAACTTATTTTTAAAATCTACACAGGCAAAATTAAACTATAGGGGCACATGCTTTGGTGATAAAACTGTAAACAAAAGCAAGAAAAGGATTACCATAAAAGTCAGAATAGTGTTTACAAATCTTATAAGAGGAGGACAAAAAGGGATTGGGTTTGGGAAGCAGCAAATAAACAGCTGGCCAAACTCTATTTTTTTTTTTTTTTTAATTTGAGATGGAGTTTTACTCTTGTTGCTTAGGCTGGAGTGCAATGGCACAATCTCAGCTCTCCAACCTCCGCCTCTCAGGTTCAAGGGATTCTCCTATCTCAGCCTCCTGAGTAGCTGGGATTACAGGTGCCTGCCACTACGCTCAGCTAATTTTTGGTATTTTTAAGAGAGACAGAGTTTCACCATGTTGGCCAGGCTGGTCTCAAACTCCTGACCTCAGGTGGTCCGCCCCTCTCGGCCTCCCAAAGTGCTGGTATTATAGGCATGAGCCACCATGCTCAGCCAAATCTCTATTTCTTGAACTGAATGGTCAGCAATTTCCTCAAGAATCTAAAACTAGAAATACCACTTGACCCCACAATCCCATTACTGGGCATATACTCAAAGGATTATAAATCTTTATACTATAAATACACATGCACGCATATGTTTATTGCAGCACTGTTCGCAATAGCAAAGACTTGGAACCAACCCAAGTGCCCATGAATGATAGACTGGATAAAGAAAATGTAACACATATATACCATGGAATACTATGCAGCCATGAAAAAAGATGAGTTCATGTATTTTGCAGGGACATGGATGAAGCTGGAAACAATCATTCTCAGCAAACTAACACAGGAACAGAAAACCAAACACTGCATGTTCTCACTCATAAGTGAGAGTTGAACAATGAGAACACACAGAATCAGAGAGGGGAACATCACACATGGCCTGTCGGCAGGTGGGGAGTTATGGGAGAGACAGCATTAGGAGAAATATCTAATGTAGACGATGGGTTGATGCATGCAGTAAACCACCATGGCACGTGTATATTCTATGTAACAAACCTGCACGTTCTGCACATGTACCGTATAACTTAAAGTATAATAATACTTTTAAAACGATTTGCCTTTAGTATTTCATCAACCCATACATTGTTTTATGTGAATTTCTGTGTCATTGGTATACCTTACCACAGAAAAGGTTTAAAAAAATTTTTTTCCTGAAATATGTATTCCTTTTACCAAAGTTCAAAGACACCCAAGCACAGCCATTCTAGTCATTGGTAGACTAGTCACTGGTTTCTAGTCATTGGTAAATTTGGAATAACACTTTAGTTTTAAATTTACATTTTTAGGATACATACGGCCATGATCGTGCCAACTGACACAAAAAGTTCTTAGAGTTTAGCTTTGATTTCATATTTCCTTTCATTTACCTCAGTCAACTTTAAGAAAAAACAAAAAAACTAACAAGGCCCTTAAGGAAGGCATTATGGGGTGGACTGTGATCCCCCAAAACACATATGCTAAAGTCCTAACCCCTAGTACCGCAGAATATAATTGTATGTAAGGACAGGGTCTCTAAAGAGATAATGAAGTTAAGACAATGTTATTAGGGTGGGCCATAGTTCAATAGGAACAATGTTCTCACAGGAAGAGATTAGGATGCAGATATACACAGAAGGAAGACCATGTGAAGACACAGGAAGAAAACCATGTACAAAGCAAGGAGAGAGACCTTGGACAAAACCGGCATCTCGATCTTGGATTTCTAGCTTCCAGAATTGTGAGAACATAAATTTCTACTGTTAAAGCCGCCCAGGTATGTGGTACTTTATTTTGGTAGCCTTAGCAAACTAATATGGAAGGTAAAGGAAAAGGAAAAGTTTTAAGAGTTCCTTTTTAAAAAGGTACTGGAGGGAAGGAAAAAAATATAAAATGTTACCACTTTGATTTATAATGTATTCATGAGGCATTAATAAAAAAGAGAAACTGATATCAGATTTCATGTAAAAGGAAACATCCCAAAGAGCTAAGCACAGAGGTCAAGACAGGAGGGAACCAGCAGAGAAATAACTGGTTACTGACTTTGGATTGATGAGCAGGATTCAGCACTTTCAATGTGGTTCCTGAAAAAACCCAGAGAATTTTGAGTTAGATTTTTAAATGGACTGGAAACAAATGGAGGTGACAGGTGAGATCAGAGTGGTTAAAGGGCTTAAAAAACAACAACAACCTCTGGCCCTTCGGTCTGCACAAAGTTTGTATTTATCATTTCCTTGGTTTGATAGGCTTAGGGGGTTAGAAAAACCATCAACGAAGAAACTGAACGTCTCAGGTGGAAAAATCATCAAAGACTGTACAGCAGAGTCAGTGCTTCGTGTGTTATGTATACTCATGGAGCCTTAAGATCCCAGAGTGGAGTGCACTTTGCTGACTAAGTACAAGTTTTCTGAAAAGGGATATTACTATAGACACAGCAGAGAGCTATCTGCTGGGTCCACCCCCTGCTCCTATTTGCATTTCAACATTCCACTGACAGACACAGATGGAAATAGATAGCAAATGGCCTGTTTCCTTTCCTCTTTAATTTAACAAGGGAATAAGAGATACTCTACATCTGAAAAACATTATCATACAAAATACAGAAGTGAAGCCAAGTAAACAGGGATGGGAATAAAAGGACATGGAGATTCTAGTCCGAGGTAATTTTTTCCCAACTATAAACAAAATGGCTGCATTCTCCCATGTTATATCCAGAAGAATCCTGATATCCTTTCTATAGGAAGGTAGTAATGTAAATTAACCCACCTTTCAATTTGCCAATATGTAGTTTGGAATAACTTTCTGAAGAGACAGGCATAATTATTATATCTAGATAACTTATAAAAATTATCAGATTTTTAAGTCTTTATCAATTAGAAATACATAGGTATGTAGGATGAATTAACTGAAAAAATGTCCTAATGTCTGGAATTTGCTTTAAAATACTACACACATACAAACACAAACACACACATAAAGAAAAAAGAGAAAAAAAGATTGTCAAAGTGTTGATAACTGTTGATGCTGGATGATGGGTAAGAGGGGGTTTATTACAGCATTCTTTTCACTTTGATATATGTTTAAACTTTTCCATAATAAAAAGTTTTCTTTTAGTTCACATACATATATAATTGAAAAATTCAATTCTCTTCAGATTGTGATTTGAATAAGACGATATCATTTATTTTGGTTACTGATAACAGTTTAGTTTCAATAAAAAGCTTTACTATAGTAATACAGGTACATAAAAAACTGAACCAAGGCTTTACGGAAAAATAACTTGACAAATGTTTATAAAATGATAAAGAAGCAAGCAGATACAATATTGTAGCTATATATGATACTACATAAATATATATGTATATATACGAATGTGTGCATAAGATAAAAACCAATTAAAAGATATGTAGCAAAATGAAAGCAACATTTATCTCTCATTGATGAGTTTAAGGACAAGTTTTCCTTTTTTGTTCTACTTTTCTCAGCTTACAAGTGTTCTAAAATGAGTATGTACCTAATTTGTAATTAGAAAAAGGAAATGAATGTGAACGAGTGGGATTATAATTCAGATAAAGTAGAATAGATAGTGGGAACACTATTCAGAAGAAAAAAAACACTTGGCCAAAGGTCACTACACTAACCGTTGAGCAGAAAGAAGCCCTACACTTGGGTGGCTTTTGGTTTCATATGCTCTTCAGATTACACCATCTGCAGATCTGGTGGGGAAAAGCCCACATTCTTAAGCCTCTAGGTGGTGGAGGCTTTTATTTTTGTGTTAATATTTTCACAGTTTACCTGTCATAACCAATATCCTGCAATTTCTGTCTCCAGATATTTTTAATTCCCTGATCTCCCTGTAGATCTAATAATTTTACATTTTACTGGCAGGGATGTGGGGTGGGAAGGTGGGACTCTTTCACAACTGAATGCAAAGGCACACACCAACCCTGGACCCAACCTTGGTCCTCAGTGGTAACCTTAAAGGCAAATTTCAAAAACCATTTTCTGTGCCACAACCTAAGAAAGAATTATAGGTTGGTGTAAAAGTCATTGGGGTTTTTGCCATTAAAAGTAGTCACAAAAACCACAGTGACTTTTACACCAATCTAATACTATAAAATATAAGTTTAACAATTCCTACCATATTCTAAAAATTCTTTTTCTGATAACTAAAAGTAAAGTTTTATTTTTTTCCCAAGTGGGTGATAAAACTTCAAATAATAAAGTATTTTTAAAACCTTCAAAACTGTACATTAGAAGTATCATTAAAAATTAAAATCATAATCAGTAGTATAAAATTTCCTCAACAAATTTCCCCACAAACAGGAAAATTTCACTTACTTTAACTTCCACAGTCTTGCCTCCATGTTCAATGTGTCTCTCTATGTATTCAGAGGACAGCAAATCACTGCAACAACAAAAAGAAATGATGAAAATGTAAAACATGAAAATCAGAATCAAATTTACACATATCTGCTTTAACAATTCTTAACCCCCCAAATCAACACTTTATAGCTCTCTCTCTCTCTCTCTCTCTCTCTCTCTCTCTCTCTCACACACACACACACACACACACACACACACACAGCCCAGTGCTTCTAAAAGGACAGGAGGTTGAACTGCCTACACCCACCTGTCACCTACACCCACCTGTCACTCCATTGCTGAGCACAGCTGATTTTGCTGAACCAGCCAATAGTTCTAGGAAACTACTGTATGCACATCACTATTTTTAAGACATCTTGTTCTTAATTTTTTACTTTAGCTTTTTATCAAGTAGTTTTAATTGTATATTGTGCCTTACCATTTCTTTATGTGTTATATGTGATATTTTTTATCTGACAAAATGTTAGTTTCCATCACAAAAGTAAAAAAAGGCAAAGAAAGTTAAGAGAAATGAAATGGAATATATACCATCAGCATTTGAAAATAATTCTTTTTTGAAATCTATCCTAAATAACATTTATATGTTTCTATAATCTTAAATATGCTTCTCTTTAATTTCATATATGTGAAAAACTTTCCCTTTTAATGGAGGGGTCTCAAGACACAACTTCCATAAAATATCTGTAATATGTTAAAGCACTAAAATATAAATAAAACTATCATTAATAATTTAAAAAGTGTGAAACTATATATTTCTAGTGTTGCTCTATTAATAAAAATTGAGCCAACTAAAAAGTCCTTACGTGAACTGAAGGTCATCACACAAAAACTGTTGCAGTCATTTAAATATGTGAATTTTTGAGCACAGAGGCTCATCATGATAAGTACCATACCTACCATTCCTTGAAATGGAAACAGAACCATCAAACAAGAATTACATTAATGCAGGCACCATAATCCTGCAGTATCTGATGCTTTTATTACTATTTAGGAAACTTATCATTATAGTCTAAGTCAATGCTTCATTTGTCTTTAGAATAGATGTTCTTACTGATTTTATGTGAGAATCAGCTAGCATGCTCTCAGCTGCAAGCTGTAGAAAACACTACAAAATGTGTATTAAACAATCAGGACATTTATCATCGTATTTATTCTTTGAAATTCCAGGGATAGTATAATTTTGAGGCTATTCAGTTCTAGTTGATAAATAAATTTGAGGTTTATAAAATATAGGCAACCCCTTTTAAGATATTTTTAGTATATATTTTGCTAGCAAGACATAAGCGGAATTCAGAGACATATAAAGTGTAAGAAGAAGATTTCGTATGTGTTACACACTGACAGAAAGGGTTGCAAGATCAAGAAATGCCAATTACTCTTGAAATATATGAGTAATAAATATTCATGATACATTAAATATACAAGAGGCACTAAATATCCAGGATACACTAAATATACATAGGCTCTTAATATTCGTGAGGGGGGGTTTCTCAACTTCAACGTAATTGATACTTTGGGCCAAATAATTCTTTGTCTTGGGAAGCTGTCTTGTTCACTGTAGCACACTTAGCATCCCTGGCTTCTACCTAATAGATGCCAGTAGAATCTCTTATACATACCAGTCATGACTATTAAAAATGTCTCCAGACATTGCTAAATGTACACTGGGGGACAAAACCATCCTGGTTAAGAACAACTGCTGATACTCATTCCTGCCCCATTTTTCCTCTGTCCAATAAACACAAGAGAACTCATGACTGTTTGTGAAGCTAACTGGCAAGCCACAGCCACTGACCACATATACTTGTCCCATTGTTTCTCAGACACTTGAGCAGGTGTTATTAGCTTGTGACAACTGCTATCTTTGCGGCTTACCCAAACCTCAACTCTGGTCCTTGCAATCATACCATCAGCAGGGAAGGCATATGCAGATGTATGAGCACTATGTTCCCCATGATTAGATGGCCCGGGCCCTCCGCCCTACTTGCACCTAACCCAGGTGTACCAACTTATCAATCTTTCCTCTTGCCTCTCACTGGGCACTTTAATTAATTTAGTGAATTAAGGGATTTGAGGACAGGAATTTAGTCTGTGGGAGCTTTTAGTTCCCTCCCCTCTAGGAGAGTTTACCTGGTAGCATACTTGGAGGCTACCATTGCATCAAAGTATCTTCCCACCTGACATCAGGGCAGTTTCAGGGTTGGTTCAGGCGGCGGCTCAGTGCCATTAATGAGATGAAGGGTGTGTTCAACTTTCTGCTCTGCCATCAGCATGGTAGAGGGCTCTCTTAGCTGGCTCCTCTCATCACCCTGACATGATGGCTACAATTCTCAGCATCTTATGAAAAATACAATATTCCAAGATTAAAAAAAAAAAAGAAAAAAGCCTTGTATTTATTTTTAAAAGTGAACAAGCCCTTTCAAAAATAGCTCTTAGCATTCATCTTCTCAAGTATCTTTAGCCAGAATTACATTATATGACCACTCCTAAACCAATCCTTTGAGAAGAACATTTGTCTTTGAACAATCAAGATTCTCCTGCCAGGCCTCCCTTGACCATCATGATTATTTAGAGACAAGTGAACAATATTGGTGGAACAGTATTGAGAGCAGTGAAGAAAGTAGCTGTTGTACATCCAACCAAAAATTGTCTTTTTTTCCCCTTCATCATGAGTATATTATATATATTTCACAAATTTCCAAGGACTTAAAAATGTGAAATTGCACAGGAAAGACCTGCCTCAGGCAAAACTGGTACTTGCTACAGCATTTGCATCACACCCTATTAACCCAAACAGGAGAGACACTAGCCAGGTATTTGCAAAGGACTGTCCTCCAACCTTGCTATCAATCTGAAAAACTTCCCCAGTAGTAGGAAAGAAACATTATCATACAGAGGCATGTTTATCAGCAGATCCAACCAGCTTCCCTCACTTGGGAATCTGAACTCAAAATCAGAAAAACAATCCTTCAGCTGATGAAGGAAAGAGAAAGTCAAAAGTAAGCTGACACTTAAAAGAAACTGAGCTGTACAGTGGTGAATACCAAAGCGAAAGCCTCAAATCTCCACTGCTGAAGTCTCTGAATGCAGAACAGCCTATCCCTGTACTAGACATCTTTGGGATCTTTGCCCTTTCACTGTCACACGAATCAAACCCACTGTTGAAGCCCGCGTGGGTAAAATTAAAATCACCTAAGTCAAATACTCTTCAGAGGAATACTAGCTGTGGTGTAGGAATAGTAGCAGTAATAATAAAAAAAAATTTTTTTAAACTACTTTTGAATCTTCCAGGTTTTCAAATTTCAAGGGAACATTTCCCTTTGAATTATAAAATCTAGGCATTAAGAAAATATGAGTCACTGCACGAATGTAATTACAGCAAAGAAAAGCCCTCTGCTCAGGAATTATGCAGCTATTTCAATCAATCCTCTATATACAAGTATTGCTGGAAAGTGCTCCATGTAATTTAATCCAAAAACTGCTCATGCAATTTGGTTTTGTTTGTTTGCATAATGTGAAAGTCTGCTAAATATTGTTATTTTAATGATTAGGATGAGAAATCTTAAATTTAAAGTTTCAATTTTCCCTCTACTAAACCATAAAACCTTTACTACTATCAAGTTAGTACCTAAGTAAATTTTCTTGAAGCTTCCTGAAGTAGAGATAATCAAATTACCTTAAGTTATTTTCCTTAGAAATACATCGTTTATCATTATTTAGGGACCTGCTTAAATCATTTTAAGTGTGGGGAAATGGAAGATCTCCTTAACATAAAGGAAATTTTACATTAATGTAAGTGGATCAGGTAGAATTCACTCCATGCTAACAGCTTAATACTGAAGTGTGAATGCTTGTTTGTGAACTTTGAAAAATAAAAGTAAATATCATTTTCAACCAAATTCTGAAGGCCACTTATTCTGCAAAGTAAGTAGATGTTTATAAAGTTAGAAATGTTTTGAGGCCTTTTCGTTATTTGTATGCCATAATAAGCCCAAAAAAGCAAAACAAATATAATGTAAACATTTTCAACCATAATAATGATTATCCTTTGTCTAGTGGGCAATTGCCATGAATCAAAGACAGCTGGTATAGTATTATACAAAGGTTTGGGAGTTAAAAACAAAAATAAATATTTTAATATTCCATCCAAGCTCTGCCATTTACTAGCTGTGTACCCTTGGCCAAGTCGCTTAATCTTGATCAACATAATTAGCTTCTGCCTAAAATGGAGAAAGCAAAAAAAGAAAAAAAAAAATCACTACATAAAGCTGGTATGGTATTAACCAGAACATAGATGAAAATGCATCCCAAATCCTGATTTGAATCATTCGCATACCCTATCCATCATCTCATATCTATCTGTCTTTCTCCAGAACTCCCCCTCTCTCACTGTTTTGGGACTTTAACCACGGAGTCTATCTACCACTTTTTCACTCTCCTGACCTCCCTCTTGTCCACTTAATCTAGTTTATATTCTATGATCTGTCCCGATAAATCACCTCCCTGCACACACTCTAAACCAATTTACACCTCTCCCCACTGTAATTGCTTGACCAAACCTCAATCACAGTAAAACTCCTTCTACTAATCAAAGTCTCACTCCAAGAAGCAGAACATCTTGAATGGTACCAGGCTGGTTATGATCACAGTTGTCAAATGGTCCCTCATCACAACACTGCCCTTAAGAACACTACACTTTTCTGGTCAATCTACTCTGAGAAGACCCTTCTAAGGCTCTCTCCTCACATCTCCAACATGCTCCCTCATTATTACTCCCTTCAGATAACCTCACTTCTGTATTTGCTGAGAAAATGAAAACAGGGCTACCTCATCTTTCCAAGCCACCAGTAACCCTGTTTCTGAACCAGTCTCTACTAGGATGTCAAACAGGCACCTCAAATTCAACATGTCTAATGCATAATTCTCTCAGTCAAATTCAAACATTCAATTCTACATTTAAAATGTATCCTAGTAATAACTTGACAGTGGAAAAAAAAAAAAACTGGGGACATCACCTTAACC